CAGTGTCAGCACAGTCAGTCCCTCACAGAGTCCTATAGCTATACAGTATTTATGAAACAAGGTTGATTAACCAGTGGGCCCTCCGTATGTCGTCGGGCTTCAATTCCCATCAGTCCTGACTAGCATAGCCAATACTGATGGACACCTGGAGTGACAGAGCAACAGATGGCAACTCATTCCTGAACCTCGTGGAAGGTTATGACCCAGTCTCAGGCCTGTATAGAATTGCACCCATAGTCTCATCCCATTAAATCTCTGATTTTACACCCCAACCAACTTATCAGGACTTTTAAATAAACCTGCTTAGGCTTTTTCTACATGCACTGAACACCATATTTACTCCCAGATCCAGCCTTGAGTACCCAGCCTTGAAGTTGCTGGACTTCAAAGCCCCAAAGCTTCATCCAGCATGGCCACTCTGATCAGGGATTCTGGATGTTGTAGCCCAACAGTATCTGAACGGTCAAGTTTGGGAACCACGGCTCTAGATGAAGGAGTAGAATGAGATTTACACCAGAGTGAGTTGCAAACAGCTCCATGAGGGGCCAATGTGTGTTCACATGAGTTCTGACAAATCATCCTTAAGGAAGCCTAATTCCGGAAACTGACGTTTTAAAAGCACTTACCCGGTCAGCAAAATACAGTAGAGCATTCCTGAATGGCAGCTGATGACATTATCATTTCACCCTGCTGGTTATTGCATGTGCTAGAGGTGTGCAGCTGGCTCCGAGAGCAGGCCATGCTGGCAAGTAAACACACCATTTGCAGTTGCTATGGTAACCAGCATCGTAAAGCAGGCAGGGCTCCCCTGTTTTCATTCACATAGCAACAGGACGGGGCCTGTTAACCATGGACTACCTTGGGGACCATTAGATGCCACTAAGGTGATTGCCTGCATTTAGCCCTCTCTTTGGAGGAATCCTTTATTTGAAGAACTGCCCAATACAAGCCTGGTTTACCAATAATAACCCACGAGGAGGAAGAACAATGGTCTTGAAGCTGCCTACCCATAGTGAGCACCTGGAGAGCAGACCACTAGGCATAACTTACGTGGTCAGTCTTTCCTGCTATTGTGATATTATTCCAATTTTGCATATATGCAGATTTTATACAAAGCTCTTTTGTTCTCTTCTGTTTACCTTTTTTGGTGAAGCATAACGTAGCCTGCCTGGACACTATTCTGTTGTGCCAAGTGTAATCATGACAGGACAGCTGTAGCTCCTGATTTTGGCCACCCAACTTTCCTACTGTGCCCTCATGTTCTTTCCCACATCTGCCACAGGCAGATTTTTTAAAAAAAATCACAGATGGTGCTTTATGTAAATGTTGGTTAGTGACCCACCAAGAGTATAGAATCAGCACTTTCTCTGTGACTCATCCTTGTTTGTTTTCACAGCAGTCCAATCCCCAGGAATGAAGTGGGCAAAGTATTCCTTTGCAATTTTATCTCCATTCTATTTCTTGTTAAAAGCACAAGAACAGGGGCAGTTGAGGAAGTGGCAGCCCTCATGGGTGGGAGAATGGCATTTCTTTTCCATGGCAATTGCTGTCCTGATTTGACTGAGAGAGTACAGTGACGCTAGCAGCAGGGACCAAGGCACTGTGGGTTCCTTTGAAACAGTTGGGTTTGTTTAGAATAATCTATTCCACACTGACAATTCACACAGAAATGGCTCCTGCCAATATTGTGAAGTGGCCTAATGAGCAAGCCACTTCAGGATATCAGCAAATTAATCACATCCCCTGCTCAGGGAAGACTCCTTGTTGTAATAGTGAACAAGTTCCATTGAACACAATGAGAACTTCACCCAAGTAAGCATGCAAAGGACCTTTTAACTTTATTGGATTTTTCTGAGGTCCTCAGGAGATGGTATGTGTGTGTGTGACAAATAAACAACGCCTTTTCCAATGGCTACTTTGTGGCATCTGTGCCTGCAGGGCTCTATTGTATGAATGACCTTGCTATATAGCAGGAACTTTGGTGTGATTTTCCTTAATCTATCCAAAATGATAAACATGTGATCTTCCAAGACTATTTATCCAGCATGAGAGAATGCATCCCTTCACCACTCCATATACATTTCATATGTGTAATAACCTTATTATCTTATTAAGGATCGGGATATAACTAGTAACAAGAGTGGTTATTAGTCCATCAAAATATGACTCTGAACACACTGTAGAGCTGCCTTTTTCACTCCTAGCAAGGCCTCTTCACTTTTAAACTTCTGTGAGAAGCAAGAAATCAAATGAGCAACCATTCCCTAGCATTCACTGCAACCCCAGAAGTTTAACTTGGTGATTTTCCATCATTCAGATGTTTTAAAAGGATACAAGCTCAGCTACCATAAAAGAAAATCTGGTAATTTTAGCTATAGTTGTTTCCCCCTTCTTTAGGTAAAACATTGCAGAAGTCTTATCTTTCTTCCCTTTTATTAAGCCATTGAAATAGCTGTTTTTGGAAGGCTTTCTTGCCTATAATTGTACAAAATTCTAATCACATTGCCTCTTGAGTTGACAAAGTTTCCATTTTTATTAAATCAATGATAAGTTACAAAGGAGGAAAAATAAAGAATTATATGTACACCGTTTTCAAAAACAAGCCAAAGAGGATCATGGGGGAAGGGGCAGGAAGCATGAAAAGATGAAAACATTCTGCCTGCAAGTGACAGAGGAGAAATTAAAAGAGATTTGTACCAGCCGGGATACAATGCCAAATAAACAAATGGTTGGTTTATCTGTAGGAGCACAAATATTTGATTCTCTCCATGACTTGTAGAATTAAAATACTAAGATGCATCAATGTTGATTTACATCCTCTGAGAATCTGACTCACCAGATCAGATGTGGGCATTTTCAGTGGGCAGCAGAGTCAATTCTATCACTCCCTTGAACCCACTGCAGGTTGCCTCCCTGCCAAATTTCAGCAACATGCCAGAAACAATGCTTTAAATTAAGTAGATAATGTTCATTTGACAACTGTTGTCATTCATGACTGCTCTGTTTTAGTACCAAACAGTGAAAAAATTTTTAAAATGGATATTTCCATTTTGTTTTAAAGGTAATTACTTGCTTTTTTGGTGAAAATCAGTGGCAAGGTTTGCTAGCAGATTTTCATTGTATTGTTCAGGGAGCCACAGAAAAGGCCTTGAACTATATTGTCTACTCCTGCATTTGTTCTATGAACCTATAATATTTTTGATGTCATAGGCTGTTAATCACATGTGATCAGTACCAAGTATCTGGTACCAGGAAATTTATTAGAGGGAAAATCAGTCAGTATACAGAGACACTATTGCCTCTTGGAGAACCTTTGGCCCTCCAGATGTTTTGCACTACAACTCCCATAATCCTTTACAATTGGGCATGCTAGCTAGAGCTTCTGGGAGTTGAAGTCTAAAACTTCTGGAGACCCAAGGATTCACCGCCCTTGTTCTAAATAGCTGGTATTGCTACACAGATATTGCTACAACAGTTTGCTCTTTTCCCCAATCCAGAGCTTGGAAAACCACTTTTAACAAGAATGAATATAACAATATTGGAGATGGGCACAAATCAGAAAAATGGTGATTCATTTTGATTCATGATTCATCAAGATTGCCCAATCATGAATTATGATTTTTCCCCCTGATGAATCAAATTGTCAATTTGTTTTTTACTTTAAAACCCAATAAAATGGTCTTCCAAGCACCTAGAGACACCAAATTCACAAGGAAGTTTCCCTGGCCTCTCCTCTACAAGCTCTCCATGTTTGGCAAGGTTTAAGTATCAGACGTCCGGGTTATTCACCCACAGGGGGGGCACCCCAGGAAAGTTTCTCCCAGGCATCTAGTGACCCCAACATCACAGAGAAGCTGGCTCTCCTCTACAATCCCTCCAGGTTTAGTGAAGACTGGGCTACAGACATCCATGGTATACACTCACAAAATGGGCCTCACCAGGAAAAAAAAATGCCCTTTAGCAGCTGGTTTGGGGGAAACACAATCTTCACCAAACTTGAAAGGAATCATAGAGGAGAGTCAGAGGAAGCCTCCCTGTAATTTTGGTGTTTTAGGTGCTCGGGGAGCCATTTTATAGCCAAACAAATAGACAAATAAAAATTCATTGATTCATATTTGTCAGGGGCATTGATTTGTAGAAATAAAAATAGACGAATTAGCGATTTTTGCATGAATTTGATGGTTTATTTTTTAATTCATGTCCATCTCTAAACAATATGCTTAAACTATCCTTAAATGAGTAATAGCGGAACAATGCTCTGGGTCCTAGAACATCCTTCTACCCCTGAGTACTCAGAAATGGCTTCATCATGACCCTATACTTACTTCTTAAATGATCTTTCCAAACTTTTTTCCTTGCTAGTTTTGCTATAGCAACCCAATTGATTAGGCTCACAGCTAGAGCTCTGTGTGTTACCTGTGATTCCTGAGAAAAAACACAGGATGTGCTGCAAAAATGAGCCTGAAACAGGCACTGGATGTTAGGACTTTTAGAGCTTCACATGGAGATGAATTTCACCATGAAAGTCTGGACAAAATCCAAATTAAATGAATATTTTTTAAAAAATCTATTTTTTTCTGATTCATTCAACAGTCACATTTCGCGTTGTTTGAACATAATAATTTTCAGTTAATGCTTCAGTATTCGTCTGAAGAAATGCAACATGCCAATTTAGATTAGGAGAAAATCAGACACTTTTCACTGATGTTACAAAGATTTGCAACTCAGCTAACAACTGGCTGTGGGGTTCCTTCACTGTATGGTACATTTAATCCATTGAGATAGAATTACTGAATACTGAATGCATTGTGAATTATATACTGTTAGAATGACAGCCTGTCTAAGACACAAGTATCAGTGCTAGACATACTTTATCCTGAATTTGTTAAGACAAGTACCGTATTTTTCGCACCATAAGACGCACTTTTTTCCCACAAAACAGGGGGGTGGAAAGTCTGTGCGTCTTATGGAGCGAAGAAAACAGATTATATTTTCCTGTTTTCTTCTCCTAAAAAAATGGTGCGTCTTATGGAAAGTTCTGTCTTATGGAGCGAAAAATACGGGTATATGCCTCAGCATGCACCTCCGGGTGCTTGTTCTTCACTTACACAGACATATTCTGACTAAACAAGGACCCTTATGATATTGACACATGGCAAGAGGTAAACCTCCTTCCTGGGAAGGTCTGTAGCTCAGATGTGGATGACAAGCTCTGCGTTCTGAAAGTCGCAGTGTCAGTCCTCCGTCTCTTCCTCTACAAAAGTTTGGGAACAAACTCCATGGAAACTGTGGGAAGCAGCTGTTCTAGGTTTAATACTGTGCTAGATAGATCAGTGGTTTGAATCATAATAAGGCAGTTTCCAGTGGATCCCAGGGAGTAATGCTCACTGAAAAGAGTGGGATCCATTTCTGAAGAAACATGGCTAGGGTTGAACTATAAGGGATAAAAGCAAAATTAGCACATGCTTATTGGAGACACCACCCCAAAAAAGCAACAGGTCAATTCAAAGGTGCTTTATTGGAAAGACATGACATTACATGTCCTGAAAAGGACAGATTTCTTGAGGTATCTGCCATAAATAATGGGGGCCCAAATGTCACCCATATTTCTACAGTTGAGATTGGCGTTCAATGCTAGCAATTAATGTGACTGCAGAGCAAAGCTACTTGTGATTAGTATTTGCTCAGTTTTCCAGAGAAGAAAGCCAAGTATATGTTCATGGTTTGCTGTACCAGCTTCTCTCAACAAGAAAGGAACATCTGGTGAGAATTATTCCCTTCAGTTCCTTTTTAAAATTATTGTAGCAAGTCCATAGGAGGAAGCAAAAAATCCAGACACATGAATGACAGCCTCCTGCAACCTGGTGCTGTGTCAGAGTAAAGCTCACATGAGCCTCAGGCAACTGATGGAGGTGACAGGATTGGTAGACCAATGCAATGACAAAGGATACTAGATTAATGATGCTTGCTATATGATACTGAGGGCCAGGCTGGAAGTCACGAAAGCTCTTTTTCATATTCTTATTTAGTTGTAACAAGACAAATGAGAATTACACTGGAGACAGTGGACCAACATGTTTTCTTGACACTTTCTGTTACATCTCTGTCCTACACAGCTTCCAGTAATGTCATATAAATCGTAGCACCTTCCAGCTCTGTCCTTGAAAATGCAATCAATGAGACATAGCAGCACAGCATATTCTTTACTATCGTCACAACAGGTTCAATCTACTGCCACAGTCAAGGTGAGAACTTTCCCAAGACCACTAGCTCTTTCAATATAATACAAAGAATTTGTTGGGTTGTCAAATTCTCATTATGCAACATGTATTCCTGAAAACATACTAGGAAATCAAATGGGAGAGAGCTCTTTCCCGAAACAGATGAGAAAGGTTTATGGAAGGTAAAGGAAAATAATACTTCCAAATATGAAGGAGACACTGTTGAACAGAGGCAAAACCATGATGTTCAGATGGTCTTACCTGCCACAAGACATCTCAAGCAGGACAGATGGGATCTACACAAAAGAATAACGCCTCTGACTGACTTCTGGTGAGCATTGCTTTTAACAGCTCTCCAAGTTATACTTTCTCCTACTCCCTTACTTTCTTATAAAGTTGGCTTTCCCCTCACACCTTACTTAGTTTCCCCCCCCATGTAGTCCTGCTTTGGAAGTGGCCTGATGCTGATACCATCTAACAAAGCATGTGAGGGCCCCCAAATATTTCCCCTCCCTGGCCCACAGCCCACCTTCCTGCTTCAGTATGGGGAGAACTTCTGTCTCTCAGCCTTCTTGCTGGCATTGACTGTGGAGATCTTGGTCGTGTATGTGGCAAGGTTGCCACTGTGCCCCGTTGCTGAGGAAGGGGGCAGCGTCAAGAAGGGGACAGGTTTCAAGCCGATGAAGTTGGAGAGGGAGATGGCATAAGGGGCACCAAGCAAGGCTGGGGGAGGTGCGGCCACTGCTGTCAGCGTTGGGGCTGGCGAAGGGGTGAGGGGCTGGGAGAAAGTCATGCCGAGGTCAACGGGGGGCGTCTGGGAGGTAGATTTGGCCGTCTCTAAACTGAAGAACAAGAAGGGAGAAAGAATGAGATCCATGCAGGCCCACATTTACACACACACATACAGATACGTGTGGACATATACCTTAGTGTATATGTACTGCTGTATACAGGTACATGCTTGCATAGCATAAGTGTGGCTGAATAGGTACAGTTTGCGTATTACATACATGCATACATACACGTATGGATATGCATATAAACATAGACACGTGTTTGCACTGGCATGCATAATGACATGTGTAGAAGAACAGGTACACATAGACCAGACCTTTTAAACAATATGCTCAATTTCTGCCTCCAGAAAATGTCTATTCCTCTAGAATCTTCTCCCTCTGTGACTATGTTCATGCATTAGCTTTGATGAAAACCTCTACTATGACAAGCAAGGTTGTTTTTCCAGTCAATATTCAGAGGTCAAAGTTCTTATTGTAAGGCATCTTGTCGTGATCTCTGTTTACACAATCACAGCATCCATAGTATTGCAAGCATCACTGCCTTGTCTTTCTGGGGTCATTCACTGACTACTGTATTCTTCTGTGGACACCTGACCTTCAACCACTTGAGATAACAGCCACCATATAGTTCCTCTGTCTACTTCTCCCAGAAGGAAAGAAATGGTGGGGGTCAGTTTCTTATGAATGCATAAACACAGCAAAAGTTTGAAACGAGTTTCGGAAATAATTACCACAAGAAAACTGATTCTATAGACAGGCAAGTGCATCAGTTCATGACAAGCTACATATTTTGGATTTCTGCCCTTGCTGGTGGTAATCCAGGAAATGTGAATGACTGCTATTTCCTGATGCGTGAAGAATTGCAAGGGTCAAGTTTTAATAACAAGCCATGGCAATGCCCTTCTATAGTCCACTTAAGGGAAGTTATCTCTTGGGTAGGGTGATAGAGTTCCACACTGTATATAGCAGTTCTTCCTGCAAGAGGGAACTGAAAGAAAAGTGGTGTCAGATCAGAACAAAATCTGCTTCAAATCCTGGAGGTAATGTTACTAACATTAAGTTGCCTCATGAGAAATTCAAAGCATGGTTGCTGTCTACTGGATTGGAAGAGGACAGACATTAATACAAAAGGCTGGTAACTTTGTAATGGAACCACCACATGTGGCTGTGTTTGGTGCTCCTGTTTATTAAGCAAAAGGCAGAGCGTTGGCAAGTTAACAATTCACCCACAGTGTCACCACTTGATTCCCACACAAGAGTCCATTTAGGGGCTTAGGCATAGCAGGAAGGAGCCACGTCGGTATCCCCACAGATCTGAGCACAGTAACTCCACCCCTGAGTCCTAAAGGCTCTTACCAGGCTGTGATGAGGTACTGAGCCAAGGTGATGCTGACTGGTGTGCCTGTGATGGTCACATTACGTTCAGCGGAACCCTCCGTCTGGTTCCCAATTTTGATGTGGGCTCCGGACATCTGCCGGATTTCACTGATCTTGCTGCCCTGGCGGCCAATGATGCAGCCAATGAGCTGGGAAGGAGAAAGGGAAGGCTCAGGCTTTGACTGGAATGGCATATAGGAAACCTTACTATCAAAAATTTACTCTGGGCTGAGGAGAGTCGTTAAATAGGTAACAAATGCCTAGGAATCATAAAGCAGGTTTCCTGTGATAAGGGAAAGGATGTAAGAAGTTGTAGAGAAGCAAAACAAAGTTGTAAGTCAAGAATGTCATCATCAGGACACACAAACACACACAAATTCAGTGGAAGAAGCAGGGTGATTACTCATTAAAAACTTTTCAGAGTCTTGTAGTTCAGGGTTTTTACCACACTGTGGCAGAAACTGGTCTTCATTAATAACCCAGGTCAGTTTTGTGAGGCTTTCTCTTTAACCATAATTCTCAGAAACTACTACTTTTGTCAGGCAGGGATGGAGAGCAGAAATAAAGGTCAATGTTGGTTTCGCCCACTCATTTCCTGCCTCCGACAACAGAGTCCGCTGTTGTGTAATGTGCCCGGCAGCATGTGCTGACATCTGTAGAGCAGGCCTGGCATACTGTGGCAGCTGTGTGGGTGAGCGCAAGACACTCTGGTGCATTCCTCCCTGGTTTAAACACTTCCCCCGTTCTGGGCCTTATCTTCCACAGACACAGGGAGACCAAAGGACAGCTCATGTGGTAACCTGGATTCAAGAGCCAGAAGTGATTTCCCCTGCCCCCCCCCCACTTTCTCATATTCCTCTGTCAGGATGGCCAATCTTCTCACTTTATTATCTTTTTACCCCTGAACAATGGGAAGTTTCACCCACTTACTGTAGCTGTGATAGACTGCTGTAAAAGGCACAGGAATTAAGTCTGTAGAGAAACTGGCAACCTACTACCTATGTAGCAGCTAGGTAAAGTTACTTTTTAGATTACTGTTTTGTCTAAAACAGACAAAACAGCCATAAGGCATATGAGCTGAGGAATTCTAAAAGCTGTAATCTAAAAGAATAATATTTGGACAGGATAGAGAAAGGATATCATCCCATGAGAACTGGAGGCAGCAGCCATAGATTCTAGAGTTAAGCAGAGAGACCACTTGGGGCTTTGCTGAACTTGTTTCTTCTAAAGGGACAGATCAATAGTAGAGCCCCTGCTTTGAACATAGAAGGTTTCAGGTTCAGAATCTGGCAGGCCTTGTTTAAAAGGATCAGATAGCAAGTTATGAGAAAGACCCTTTTCTGTCTGAGACGTCAGAGAAATCATGCCCCTAGTCCAAGTAAACAATACTGGGATAGATGCACCATTATTCTGTTCTGGTACAAGGCAACACTCTATGTTCTAACTTGTAGCACAAAGGGGAGAAATATGACTTCAGATTCTGACACAACTCTCAGCTAGATCTTCCCTCCTTTTATGAGACAGGTGATGGCTGTGCATCAAGACACTAAGGAGTGTTTTGCTTCCTTTTCAAGAAAATTCCTCTCCAGAGACGCCTGAGAGTGTGAGCAGTGAAGGGAAGGGATGGGCTTCTATCATAGTACTACTGTATAGTGAACAAAATACCTGCTTAATGCCTTCTCAGAAATGGTGGTGGGGTGGTGGGGGAACAGGATGGTCTCCAGGCACAGAGCAGTTCTGGAATAAAAAATTTTGTCCTCCTCCAGCAAGCCTAACCTAACCATCAAGAGTTGAAGCCCAAGCACTTCATTGTTGTCAATTTGGTTTTGGAAATTTCTGATTGCTACTTTCAGGTCTAGTGCAGCCCACGCTTGGTCTCCAGATTGACTGATGTTGGCCATCCTGGAATTACAATAAACCTTCACGCTGAAGTGAGTCAGGAGGAATTGCATGGAAGGAGACACTATCACAGCAATGCAAATAAAAAATAAATAAAATTATATTAATTCTTTTTTTAATGTTTGAATAATATCGTTTAGCCTTTAATATTGTGTTTTTAATTACGTATGCCGCCTTGGGGCCAAAGATGGGATAAAAATATTTTAAATAAATAAATAATAAATAAAAATAAAAATAAAAATCCTAGCATGGAAAGAAAACTTGCATCAAAGCTTGACTCAGGCTTTGGCCTTTTTGGGCCTGAGACTTAGGCTTTGGCATCCATTCCCCAGGCCTCAAGAGTTTGGCCCTGAAATCTAGGGGATGAGATGCTCTGGGTCTGGCAGCCATACTTACATCATTGGGAACCAAGAACTCTTGAGAGCTATTCTGAGAGTTTGTGTCCAGGCCTGAAGAGAGAGAGAGAGAGAAACAGCATTATTAGGGTTCTTCTGGCTGTTTCCTAAGCTGAGCATTAACTATCCTGACTTCCCAGAAGGGGACTACAGAATAAATGCTCTGTGCAGCATCTTAAAAATCCTTTCTAGAACCTACAGTCAGAAAAAGAAGGGTTGCAGGGAAGATCAGAGAAGATGGGATGGCTTCCCAGCTACTGCAGCTATCAGCTGTAGCTCCAAGAAGAGGCTTTTGTTTTGTTTCATTTGACTTAGGTCACATTACACAAGGCTAATTTTAGACAGCCCCCATGGCATTCTAGACAAAGGCAGCCCGTTCCAGCCTTCTCTGCCTAATGCAGAGACACCCCCTCCCCCACATGCCTGGCTCCTGCTACTCTTCTAACCATTATCATTTAAATAATGATAGATTCTATCCAGACGATCTCATTTTAGCTCATATGTGCATTTGCTGCTCTCTCTCTCTCTCTTTTTGGTTGCTTTTTTCTGGCCATAAAAAGTTTACATATATACATGAATTGTGAAAAGAGTCATCCATATGCATTTTCTCCTGTGAAACAGGGGATTTTAACTAAGGTATCTCTAGAGATCACTGTTTCCTGCATTTTAGTCCAGATTTTCAACTCTTTTGTAATTAATACACAGGAAAACTTCTAAGGTCTCCTTTCCCTCTTAACTTTGGCAAGTATTTTAAACCACTGGAAATAAACATTTATTCATTTGAACCTATTCTTCTTTTAGTCAAATCACTACTGTCAAAAGAATGTCTGCTTCATTGTAAATGCAAAGCTTTGAGAGAGATAATCCACTATTTTGATAACCTTTTGATAATAAAGTAAAATCAGTCCTTGCCCTCTTTTGCACAAATGAGCTGGTTTGCTGTCTTTTGCCACTTTTCCGTAATGTGTAGGAATGTATCTGTACCTCTCTACACTTTTTCCTTGTCTGCAAGCATGTATGAATCAACTTTACCCCGCATGAAAAGATATCTTTGCTTCCAAGACTTTTGTTACATTTTTAAGTGGTCTTTCATGGGTTCTCAGAAATAGTAGTAGCCACCCCTTTTGTCTTTCTGGATGCCCATACCAGACGATATACTTCCCAGGTAGTGTTCTAACTTCATAACAGCGAGTGTTTTTAATGCTGGAAGGCGGGCATTCCCTCCTGTAGTTCTACTGTCACATGGGATCTAGCCATTTTAATAAATGGCAAGCATCAGCAAAGCTCACCTTCTCCAAACCACACAATAAGACCCCACCATTTCATAAACAAGCTGAAGTTTTATTCAGCGCTTTGATGACCCAGTGTCCTTATTTTCCAGAACAATTTTCTTTCACTATTGCAAATAGTATTTCCTTGAGTGATGCATTGCTGCATAACATTCATTGATCCTTTGCACAGTGACTTATGGCGACAGTTTGCTGCGACAGATTCTGGGAACTTAAGAGGTTTCATGGATCATTATTACAGAGCCCTCAGTGGGTTCTTTACCTGCTACTATAGATGGAGCTTGTCCCAAGGAAGAAAATGACACAGGGTGTCCAGATAGCTGCTGCAACTTTGTCACCTACACAGGAAGATGTAAGAGATGAGTGCGAAAGCAAGAGCTATTTACCAGATTTAATGTGACAACAGAGAGAACCGCTTAAGCACTATCTGCCCTACCTTGCCAGATAGTAAAAGCAGCAACCACTACTGCATTGCCTAGACTGGGAAGGAGAATAAAAGGGAGCCTAAAGAAGCACCTAGCAATGTGTCAGGTGCTTTCGGACGCAGCCACTCCCAAGGAACCAAATTCTGTACGCATGAAGTGCAAAGTACAGCTACTTCCAACAAGGTAGCTTTGTTAGTCTGTTTTCATGTGTACAACAATTTTCAAAACAAAACAGATATGCAGGGAGATATATACATCACCATGTCCAAGCTGACATCACAAGAGCATTGAACAGGTAGCTTCTAACATCTACAGAAATGCACAAACCAGGGAGTACTGGAAGATCCATTATATCAGGCACTGACACTATCACTGCTCTCTCTCTCTCTCTCTCTCTCTCTCTCTCTCTCTCTCTCTCTGTGTGTGTGTGTGTGTGTGTGTGAATAAATGGAATCTATCTTTAAACCATATGCCACCAATGTGTGCAGCTATCTAAAAGACACAACTGATTTATTGAGAATAACCACAGTTCAATCACAGCTTCCCAGATAACACTATCCTAGCTGCCATGGACAAAGGGCAGTTTTACACCAACAACCCACAGAAAAATGGACTAAAAAAACATGAAGGATACCATTCGGAATGATGCCATTACACATCTAGACATTAAACTGTGACTTTGTACTTCCATACAGTTATTTTATCTCTACAAATAACAGGACATCAATGGGCACATGTACAGCATCACAGTATGCAAGTATATCCATGGCTGAGTTGGAACAATACTTTCTTAGCTCCTGCATCCAAAAGCCTCTCCTCTATTGAGATACATCATAGAATCACAGAACAATGGAGTTGGAAGGAGTCTATAAAGCCAAGTCCAACTTCCTGCTCAGAAATCCAAATCAAAGTGTATCTGACAGACGGTTATCCAATTTTCTCTTGACCACCTCAGGCACTGGAGTGCTCATCACCTCCCAAGACAATTGTTCCATTGTTGTGCTACTCTAACAGTTAGGAAACGTTTTCCTGCTATTCAGCCAAAATCTGGCTTCTTGTAACTTGAACCAATTATTACATGTCTTGCACTCTAGGATGATTGAGAGCAGATCCTGCCTCTCTCCTGTATGATAATCTTTCAAGTATTTGAAAAGTGCTATCATATCTCCCCTCAGTATTCTTTTCTCAAAGCTAAACATGCTCCATTCTTTAGTCTTTCCTCACAGGTCTTGGTTTCCAGCCTGCTGATCATCTTTGATGCCCTCTTTTAAATTTGTTCCAGTTTGTCAACATCATTCTTAAAACATGGTCCAGAACTGGACATAGTACATAAGATGAGGCCTAACTAGTGCTAAATAGAGGGGACCTAGTACTTCACAGATTTAGAGACTACTTTTGTTAATGCAGCCTAAAATAGCATTTGCCTTCTTTGCAGCTGCATTATACTGTTAGCTCATATTCAGCTTGTAATCGACAACAATTCCAAGATGCTTCTTGCACGTAGTATTACTGAGACAAGTAACCTCTGTATTATAACTGAGCATTTGGTTTCTTCAGTATCACAGTTATCATTTAGACTCACAACAATGAATGACATAAAAACTTCCAGCAAAAATTCAGCAACCTTCACGTCACCATTAATTCTAAGCCTAAGCCAGTCTGAACATCAGTGCAGCTACATAATGAATGTCAAAGCATCATATTATATATATATATAAACACTGGTTTTTGTACTTATATGCCTTCAGCCTTACAAAGTCTACTACTGTATTTATAGCCAAGTCCTCCAATATAACCTGACATGCTCAGATTCACAAAACAAAGATTCAGAACTCATAGATTTACTCCAGACATTAATTAAACTAAAATACCCACTCTATGGGCTGAAAAACAAACTGACAGGGCAAGATGGATACCCAGAAACTACCTACTACAAGACAAAATCTACAAAAATACACAATGAACAATGGAAGATGAAATCTTGGAGAAGCTAGACTTTATTAATATGGAAATACCTGGAAATGTGAATTCAAAATTGTAAGTGTTCACAGAGACTAAAATGATTAGCTTACCTCTGCCTGAGATATACCACTGTATTGTCCTTGCATGGAGAACCCCTACAAAAGAGAGGAAGACATTTCTTTCAAAATGTATCAGAAGAAGAACTGGTGAGCTTATTTAACTTTGCCTGTATTTCTTGATGACTTACATTTCATGTTAAATGTTTTAAATCAGGGATGAGGAATTTTTTTTAGCTTAAGGACCGAATTCCACTTGGGGGAGTATCTAGGGTTCATATATTAGCAGTGGGTGGGAACAAGGGAGTGGATGCAGCAAACCAAAAGCAGGATGGGAGGTTATTTTCCCACCAAGCATGTGAATTAAAACTCTATTCTATGCAGTTCTGCTCAGGGGGAACCCCAGTGAAACAAGTTTCAGGCATTCAAAGCAAAGCTCAAAATTTTATGCAGGGTATTTTTTTTAATATAAAGGATATTTAAACTTTTTTTAATTTAAAGGATATTTAAACTTTAAATACCCTGTTATTTCCAATCACTCATCCGATATACGAGCAGAAGAAGCTTGAAGACCAGATGGGGAACCCCCGATAGGGTGGAAGTTCCCCAGTGTTGACTTAATAAATAGGAAAAGAAATGTAGAACAAGAAAGCGTAAGAAAGAAGAGCTTATGCCAAACAGTATAAAACGTTGACAGAAATCCTATCAGCAGCTTAATAATCAGGTTCAGAACATAAAAAACAAGTAATATATAGTTTTACTATGGAATAGCCCACGTCTTTTGATTTCTTTATTTACAAGTTTTGCCAAGATAAAAATAAAAATTGTGCACGAAGAGTTGGGCACGACTTAACGACTAAACAACAACAACATAAAAATAAACAGCACAATAAAACATTTCCATCTTGTACCATAGAAAATAATTGGGAAAGGAAAAAACACATGTATCTGTGTAATTCTTTTTCTGAATGTACAGATCTTTCATATCAAGCAAATGTAAAACAAATATATTTCTTTAAGAAGTGGCCCAAATAATTTTTCATCCCAATGCTACTTTCCTGCCCAACAGAGCAAACTACAACAAATATTTCCATGCTTAATTGGCTAGGCCTTCTGTTTTATTCAACTTATACAGTATTTTTCACTAATACTAAATTACAATAGACTCAATCTGAATGAAATAGAAATGGATACTTATTGCTCTTTGTTAAAGCTCAAAACAGTTACTGTCATCAGCTGAAATCCTGCTATATAAGTTATGCTTTGTAAGATTACTGAGTTCAGCAGCAATAGTTATTTTTTTAATTAAGCACTTCCAAGTTATCTCCTGAAGGTCCTGAGGGTCCCATGTAATTACTTTCATTGTTGGAAAGCCTTTAATTACCTAAAATAGCTACCATCAGGATGACTTTACCAATGGCAGTGATTTCCTCTTCCTATCCTACAGCCCTCAACAGCTTCCCAACAATCTCAGTGATTACACAGGAGCTTTGGGAACTTCAGAGAACTCAGAAATGTTTAATTTCTAAAAAAATCACCACCGTTGCTGATGTCATCCTTATGCGGTGCAACTTACAGCAACAGGATTTCAGCCACTGCATAATAAAATAATCTTTAAAGTAATTTTAAAATAGAGTAGTGTGTTACAGATTTACAACTGATTCAATCAGTATGTTGATATCAATCAACCTTTGGTTTGTACAGTATTAGTAATTTGTCACGGTATAGGATCTGAGCCATCCTTATTCATTTCACTATGGTCATCTATATTCATCAGCAATATGATTTTATGCTGCCACTCAACCTTTTTTCTGCATCAGCTCACACATTTTTTGCAATCTGGTAAATAAATTTTAATGTTTAACCAACACTTAATACTTCTCTGTATTGCTGGAGTGGCAACATTTACTAAAACCAATTCTACACGCATCATGGCCAGGGGCTTAAATTTTGCAAGGGTAAACAATTTCTAACAAAATAACAGATGCTCTTCTAAGCATTTAGCAAAGTATCAGTACTGAATAGCCATAAACTGGTTCACTTTAACCTAGATTCTGTCTTTGCCATACAAACATTTACTGATTCAGTTATTCTTCTCTTGTTTCTGAGTGAAGCCACTTACATAGATACATTTCAACCTGGCTTCAGGACAGGTTATGAAACAGAGATGGCTTTGGTGATCTTGGTGGATGACCTACACCAGGAACTGATAGAGGGAGTGTGTCTCTGTATGTTCTGCTGGACCTTGTGGGCGCCTTTGATACCATTGACCATGATATCCTGGACCACCTTTCCAGGATAGGTCTTGAGAGTACTGTTTTATACAGTGGTTCCAATACTTCCCAGAGGGTTGGACTCAGAAAGTGGTGAGGGAGGAATCCTGTTCAATACCATGGTCATTGGTTTGAAGTGTCCTCCAGCATTCAGTTCTGTCTTCCAATCTATTTAACATCTACATGAAACCACTGGGAAAGCTTGTCCACAGTTTGCCATCAGACACGCAACTCTATCTCTCCTTTCCATCTGATTCCAAGGAACCTCTTTCAGACTTAGATCAGTGTCTTTTGTTAGTAATGGACTGGGTGAGGGAAAACAAACTGAAATTTAATCCACACAAGACAGAGGTACTCCTGGCCAGTAGAAAGGCAGGACAGGGAATAGGAATTTGGTATTTCCTGGATGGGACTGTACTCCCCCTGAAAAATCAGTTTTGCAGCTTGGGTATTCTCTAGATTCAACCTTGAGTCTGGATGTAGTTAAAGCTAGTGCACTAGCTGTGCCAGTTGCTCGATATGTTTGATCTGCTTAAAGTGACACGTGCATTGGTTACATCTTGTTTGGGGTGCTACAACATGTTGTACATGGGGCTGTTTGGTTCCCATACTCTTACTTTCCACCATCAGGCAAAGCTCTACCTTTACAAGCACGATTTTAAATTTGTGGGGTTGGTAGGTTAAGGAATGCTCCATCTATTTCTTAGCAATGCATTAATGAGATTTAAAAGGTGTTATTAATAGTGTTTTAAAAATATTTTTTTATATTTAAGTGTTTTAATGCATCTTTATAGTGTTTTTCAGTAGCATTTTGTATGATTTAGCTGACTGTAAGCTACACTGAGTCCTCTGTGGGAAGAAAGATGACATATGAAGAAAAGAAATGGCCAAGAGCCTAAATTTTGCAGGGATAATAATAATAACAAAACAACAAATAATCTTCTAAGCATTTAGCACAGTATAAGTACTGAGTAGCCATATCCCTGCAAACTGATTCACTATAACACAGATTCCATTTTTACCTTACAAACATTGATTCTATTGCACTTTTCTTTGTTTTGATGAAAAAATGAATTTCTTTATTTTGATTCAATTTTTTCTCATTCTAACATGGTTATTCCTTTCTCAGGCATCAGACTTGGGGATTTATTAGCCAAAACATGGAGAAACTATAGAAATAAAAATTAAAAACAATAACTTCAATCTTCTTAAAAAGTAATTCACAGCTCCCTAAAAAATGCATTTTATTGGCAGGATATGAGTTTAAATGTCATGAGCAGTGGCACCACATTTCCATGTTCCTCATTTATGCCTGATGCAAAGAGGAAAGCTGCTAAGTTGTTAAACATCTTATCTCTGTACATAAAAATCTGAGACCATGCTCTCAAACTCACTTCCTTACTAATAATAGAGCTTCCCTCAAACTGTATAAAGACAAAAGTGCTGTTCCATGTAGCAGTTAGTGTGGTCTTTAGTGGTTACAGTGCTGGACTAGGAGTGAGAGGGTCCAAGGCCTACATCCAATTGTTGGTCTCAGCAGGAGTGGAACCATTAAATCAACTGCAAAATGGTAACCAAACACTCAATGTAAATCCCACCAATGAAGTGGATCTCCTCTAGTTGTGACTAGTCATTGGATTTAGGCCTACAGCCTTACTGAGCCACAAAGCTCACTGGGTAACCTTGAGGCAGTCACTCCCTCTCAGTCCAACTTTTACCTCAGAAGTGTTGGTGAAAGTATAAAGGTGGGAAGGAGAGAAAAAGAGCAGGTATGCTCAATGGAAGAAAGATGAGCCTGGGGATAAATATATCCTGGTCCAGTGAACACAAAGTAGTGTACATGGCTCTCTTCTCCATTTTGATCTCACAACCCTCGAAAGTAGATCACAATGAATTTTCTGGCTTGGTGGAAGCCAGATTTCCCAAAACCCAGTCAACCTTGGTAGCTATTGAACCACATTGGTTATTTCATTATATGAAACAGGCAATTAAGAAATACATAAGAAATAATGTAAATGACCAGCTTCATGGCTACAATATTTGGTTACAGTCACGTCAGTCCTTTTCAGAGTCTGGTCCTTGTACCACCAGGATGCTGGAGTTAAAGGCACCCTCCTTTGTACATCCACTTGAAGTAAAATTGTTTCTCTATTCTTATGGATACAGTCACATGACTAAGGCGATGCATGAAGGAAAGGAAGGAAAGAAGTGAAGGATGACGTACATTTAGTTATACAGACATTTTCCAGTTTGGTTATTTTGTGCTGTATCGTAAGGGGCTAAAAGCAACATCAAGGCCTATAGATTTAATCTTAGCCATGATCTTAAGAGGATCTGTGTGTCCCTTACCTGATTGGCTGAAAGAAGAACTGGTCCCAAGGACAGGCTGGGATGATAGGGAATAGTGGCACCTTTTGGTGGTGACTGAAGGAAATCAAAAGAGCAATCACTGTAGTACATTTTTTAAAATTTCCATTCATATGTATTCTCAACTACACAGCTGCCTTGTCTCCTAGATATTTATGAAATTATAAAATTAATAGCCTGACCTACACCACAGAGTTATATGCTATGGCAGCTTTGCCTTCTGTGCATATTTTGTATTGTCACATAGGCAATGTTATTGAACTAGATGACCAGAAATATTTTTAGACAAGTCCTCTTGGACAGGATACAACAATCAACCCATGCTTGGAAATGTGAACTGTGTTAGGATGTAGCTTATCACTTTTCATCACATATTGTTCATTGCTATAACAGACAGTCAAAGTGAGGGAGAAAGAGGTAGCAAAGAAGGACAATTCTAGTACAGATGCAGCAGATCTAACTTTTGCAGGTTAGTACTTGGACTGCACATGTCAACTGAAATTCATCACAAGATGTGGGGCAGAATTCATCCTTGGCTTTGTAAGACATTGTTCACTAAGGGCCAAACCAGGATAAAAACATAAGCTATGGACCTTCTCCCAGGGGAAGGTCCATAGCGCAGTATTACAGCACATCCTTTCCAGGCAGCTGACACTAGGCCAGCTCAAACTGTGTGGAATCCAAACCTTCTCCAGGCTAGAGAACTTTGTGCCAGCTGTGTCCCTAGGTTAAAAGAGGGCTGGATCTGGTAGGACTCAGCTCCTTTTTTCGTTCATCACTTCTCTTGCCCCTTTTTCATTCTTCTACCAGTAGAGCTTAGCCAGCAGAGCAGTAAGGCTGCAAGATCCCTGGGATTAGCCAGCAGAAGGGAATCCTGCTGGCAAAAAAGCATCATTGCCCTCATGAAGGGATTTTAATTATCCTCATGAGTTGTATAAAGATTCTATTTCATGATGATCCTGTACATTTTATGTAGCATATTAGCCAACTAGTGCATGATTATTCAGGAAAAACATGAGTTAGAAAACTAGAAATCGATTTAAATCTGTCTACATGGGCAATAGCACTGGTTTTCTCTACTTGAAGGGAAAGGCTGATGTCACTTTTGTAACATGATCAGCCATAACACCAATGCTGCCCTTGCTATAATGTCAACAGAGATCTCATGCTCCTTATATTTATATGATTAACAGCTGTGCTGGACATCGGTAACATTGCCACAGTGACAGCTTACAGGTGATTAAGAACTGATTGGAAGAGGAAAGCAATCAGTGATCTATGTTCCACATGAAGCATCAGGGAAGTAGAAACAAAAGTACAGCCAACTGAACAAGAATCAAGGGAACTCAGAAATATTCCTGTCACTGGATGACATTTGCTAATAATACACACAAACTCTTAAGAACATAAGAAGAATGCTGGTGGATCTAACCCAAGTCTGGCTGTTCACAAGATATCATGATGGTAACCTACTTGGACAGCTTTTTAAAACAATTAGGCAAATTCATTTTTGTGGTTCAGCATTCTGTCCCCACTATGCTCAAACAAGTGCACTTGGGAAACCAGAAGGAGGACATGAATGCCATGATACCCATCAGTCTTCCCCACCAATGTGCATTTAAAAGCATATGGCCCATGATAATAGACGACCATCATAACCTTATTATCTGTGAATCCATCTAATGCTTTTGAAAAGCTATCTAGGAAACCATCACAACATCTTGTGGACATAACTTCCAGACTTCAACTACACACTGTTATATGTCCTGAATCTCCCACTACACACTTATACTGCATGACCTTCTAGAATTATGAATGGAAGAAACATTTCTCTCCATCCACATTGCCTGCATGCTTCTTTTTCATGCAAGTTTAGAAAGTTAAAAAAAATCAGTTACACAAATTCAAATACATATAGATGAGTAACCAGCTACACCGCACTACTTCTCCCTGGTGGTAGAAAGCATCACATATTGCAGAATGTTGTCTCCAACTGATGAGGCAGAAGACACAAGAACAAGAACCCTACCTCCAGGATAACAGCACAGATCTGTCGCACACACTGGATGATGGCATCTGGAACTCCAGAGACAGTCACAGCCCTCTCTGTGGAGTTGGGGAGAAGGTCCCCAGCCACCTGGACTTGTGCTCCAGTAGTCTAGAATGAAAATGGGTGAGAAAGAAACGCTCCTTCATTTTGGGAAATGTAGCCAAGTCTGAGAACAGTCACATTGGAAACATCTCCTGTTCAGTCACAGTAAGAAGAACTCCTCAAAAATCCAATTTATTTGAAGTGTTACTTCTCATGTCATAATTTCCAATGCAAAGATTAATTCACACGCAAACAAATTAAGATACGATCTCCTCAAGGCAAGCAAACAAATATATTATTAACAGGAAAGATTAGTGGTGTTCATAGTATTGTTTTTCTAGCTCAAAATAACTGTTGCGACATTTTAAAATGATTTATTCTGGAAGCATAGGATCAAAAGCAACCATGAAACCTAGGCAGAGAAGCAGCCAAGGTACAGAAATCAAGTATGGGAAAAAGTATGGTCTGTTCTCAGATAAGCAAGCAGGGCAGGAAAAGCAGGAGGTGGAAACAGCTATAAAATAGTTTCCAAAGTCTTTACCTCTCGAATCTCCTTTATTTTAGCTCCTGCTTTGCCAATGAGTGAGCCACATTGGCTGGCTGGGATCACTAGCCTCAGAGTTACTGGTGGCTTGGATACAGTTCCTCCATTGACAGCCCCAGCTCCCAGGTCCTGAAATGAAAGAAATGAGAGTAGGTTAACATTTGGAAGGATTCTTTCAAGATATCCTATATGTGAACAGAACAATGTGTTATAGTTCCCACTCTAGGCAAATAATGGAGGTCAGTACTGTGCTACCCTCTGATAATCTAGTTCAATCTCCTCATATTTGGTATGAAAACCCAGTTAACCAGAAAGAATGTTCCAATATGGTACAGATGTCAAAGTGCCTAATCTCCTATCTTGGATTATGAATAAGAATAGGATAACAAGTTGTATGATTGAACTATGTCACGTACCGTGCTTTTCCAAATAAAATTCACTTTTAGCAGAAAGAAACTGACAAATTGTCTTCCCTCTCTAAGGTAAAGGTAAAGGTTCCCCTTGACAATTTGTCCAGTCATGTCTGACTCTAGGGGGCGGTGCTCATCCCCATTTCCGAGCCAGCGTTTGTCCAAAGACAATCTTCCGTGGTCACATGGCCAGTGCGACTTAGACACGAAATGCTGTTACCTCCCACCAAGGTGGTCCCTATTTATCTACTTGCATTTGCATGCTTTCGAACCACTAGGTTGGCGGGAGCTGGGACAAGCGACGGGCGCTCACTCTGTCACGTGGATTCGATCTTACAGCTGCAGATCTATACACCTTACAGCACAGAGGCTTCTGCGGTTTAACCCGCAGCGCCATCACTTCCCTCTCTAGTCTGTGTCGATTTCATCACAGAAACTTAATTTTGTCCAAGTCCCTAAGTAATTAGGCTCAATTAAGGATGGCAGATTCATATTTCTCCCCTAGATATGACTGTAGCCATTTTAATTACATGGTGTGAATTTTTATGGCAACATTTTCACAGACATAGTTGTGTGAATCAGTTTCAGCATGTATAACAAAATAAAAAAACAATATGATTCTTTAAAGTGGTCCTTTTAAGACTTATTTCAACGCTCCAAAGAACCTGTAAAACTGCCCCCAAAAAGTAGGCAATGTAACAGCAAATCAATCTACTGTAAGGCAAGCAACAGTTCAACCAATCACAGCCCCCCCCAAAAAAACCTAAATATGCCTTTAATAGAATAAATTAACCAGATACTTAACATTTTTTTAAAAAAATCTACCAAATAGGGAAAGCACAGAAACAGAGAGAGAGGGAAGTGAAAAATAAAACACACATAGTTCCCTCTTCCAAAAAGCAAGAAAAGTAAGCAAGCAAGCAAATAAAGGCAAAAGCCACCCCCAAAACAAATGACTAGAATATGGGGAGATTTCTCCCCCACTACATTTGATGTCTTTCTTCTTTCCTTTCAGACCAGCATGGCAAGAGAGTAGTGCAGTGAAACAAACATTCCTACTGGGTTCCAGTCAATCCAGGCCCTTATACAGCTTCCAGATTCTTCCTTTCCATTTCTTTGACATTCTGATTGGCTATCAGTATAACCCTGATCAAATATTGGTACAGCTCAAAAAGTGTTACACTAACAGCAGCCCTTGTGGTGCTATTTGATGGGAAAATTTCCAGGCAATTTGACAGATGCCAGGTGGAAGAAAGGTCAAATGAAAGAGAAGAAATGTTAAAAAAATATTTTGTGTGTGTAGCCCTCTTTTGTTGAAAGGAAGCATTTGGTTTTAAAAAGCCCATTTTTGGAGAATAAGAAACAGAAAATTAAAAAACCAGCCTTTTCTGTGTGTCTTTCCTTCCATTATGAAACAAAAATCTTGCCACTAATTACAGTCTTCTTCCTCAGATCCATCTTAGAAGGTCTGAGGAACTGGATTCTAGTTTCCCAAAGCTCACACTTCTGATTTGTTCTCTTTTTGTCATATATTAATTGAAATCCTATTGCTTAGGTCACATTAGAACTGGCCCATTGAATCAGTGGGGATTTAGTGAGTCAACTCCTCTATAAAGGGCATTCGTTCAAATGGTACTACTCTAGTTGTGACTTATTTAGTCTAGTTAAGTCACAACTAGACTAGGCCCAGTTGAATCTATAGAACTTACAGAAGAGTTGATTGATCCAATTGGCCTATTCTGGTAGAACTTACTACACCAAACAAAAAGATTTCAGTCATTATGTGGGTAAAGGATAAATTTCTTCCAGTGCTGCACCAAGCTTAAAGGACCGATTTTCTATATGAGGCCTATGGGACTTAGAATCAGGGCCTAGTCAATGGTCTGGTTTTCTTTACCTCTTCTAGCTTGAAAGCGATCATGGAAACAGCTCTGAAAACAGCATCAGTGGATCCTGTAATAGTGGTGATCCGTTCTGGACAGGATCCTTCTGAAATGGTGATTCGGGCTGTACTCTAAGTAAGCAAAAGAATAGTTGTATAAATAAGAATTTCTTATTTATCTATCATATTTTTGCCAACGTATTTCCCCCCACATATATCGTTAATTAGTCCCTATATTAAAGAACTCCTGTGGCTGAGGGAGGAAAAGAGCTTGAAATTAGAATCAGGAACTTCCTGACTTATAGCTTGATTTTTAAACCATTAAATATGTATGAGAAAGCTTCTTCCAGGAGGAAGTTTATGTTTGCAGCACAAATGTCAATTAAAACAAGACTTTCAAATGCGCAATCTTCTAATTACAAGATAAGAGAAGTGTTTGTGCTTTTTTAATGGTGTTCTCATCTATGTTATTGTGGATTTTGTTTTATTTTATTCCCATTTCTATACCACCCCAGCCTTGCCAATCACAGAACTTCAAGAGTCATCCAGGTCAACATCCTGTCAGCTACAACATCCCTTAATCATCAAAGAAAAGTTTTCATCAGTATCAATGTTTATATCTTATTATAATGATTGGAACTGAATTTCTTATAATAGATGCTACTTCCCAATCCTGTTCTCTTATATCTTTCTTTATTATGAGTTCAGCTTAGATCTTTGCTTAACCAAAGCTGACAAACTCATCATGAGTTTGTCTATGCTGCAGTATTGATACTGACAGTAACCAAGGATCAATATAGGAAATTTTATTTTGCACATCTTTGAAAAATGGCACAGTGGTTTTAAAATGTAGACACAGTGCAAAAACAGTATCAGTACCAGACAGATTCATGATGTTCATTTATGTAAGTTACAGTGGAGTATTAATGTCTTCTGCAAACTTTGAAGAATGATACCAGAGACCACAAAGAGGAAACACTGATTCACTCGAGACAGAAACTTTTGAATAATAATAAATAATAATATTTGTGTGTCATCAAGACACTTCTGACTTTTAGCAACCTTTTACAGGGTTTTCTAGGTGAGAATACTCAGAAGTGGTTTACTACAGGCGTCCCCAACCCCCCAGTCAGCGAGCCGGTAGTGGTCTGCGGCCTCAGCAGGTCCAGGCCGTGAACACAAATCTCCTGCACCCCGCAAGTGCACCCCCACGAGCGTGACATGCATGAGTGTGTGCCACTCCTATGAGCACAACACGCCCCCGCGAGTGCAACATACAGCCCACGTGCATGCACACGAGCGCATATGCCTACCGTGAGTGCAACACGCTTTGACTTTTAGCAACCTTTTTCAGGGTTTTCTAGATGAGAATACTCAGAACCCAACCCCCCAGTCAGCGAGCTGGTAGTGGTCTGCGGCCTCAGCAGGTCTGGGCCGTGGACACAGATCTCCTGCACCCCGCAAGTGAGCCCCCGTGAGTGTGACATGCACGAGTGCGTGCCACTCCTGTGAGCACAACACCCCCCCGCAAGTGCGACATACACCCCATGCGCATGCACACGAGTGCATATGCCTCCCGCGAGTGCAACACACTTCCGCACGGGCATGCCAGCCCCCCCAACTGATCCGCAGTTGGGGAAAGGTTGGGGGCCACTGGTTTACCATATCCTTCTTCTGGGGGGTGCTCTGGGACTTTACCCCTTGCCCAAGGCAACGCAGGCTGCCTCTTCTGGGATGCGCAGTGGGGAACTGAACTCCCAACTCCTTGTTCAGCGGCCGGATGCCTAGGTTCAGCGGGCGGATGCCTATACAGCCAGCTGAATAATAACTGAATGTTTTCTGTGCAGTCAAGTCAGAACGGACTTGTAACGACCCTAATAGTTTTCAAAGTGAGCTATTTAAGGAATAGTTTTACTCGTTCCACTCCTTCAGTCAGTTTCCGTGGCCAAGTTGGCATTCGAACCCTATTCTCCAGAGTCCTTGTTCTTTCCATTACACCACATTGGAAATCTAAATAATAATAATTAGTTAAGGTAAAGAAATGCTGTCAAACATTTGTACAGACTGACTGTGCTTTCTCTCCAAATTCTGCATATTCTTCTAATTTCTTGTTATGCCTCTCCACTTTCCTCATAACACTGTTGGTATACAAAATGACTAGAACTCATTTGATGCCATTCCATATTTGCAGACCTTCCACCTGAAGGCCATAGAATTTTGATCGCCAACTCAAAATTCTGAACGGAGCAATTCCCACACTTAACTTACCTGCTCTCGTATCCTCTTTACAGTCTCCCCTTTCTGTAGGATGAAAGACAATAAAGGTAATCAGACTTGAATAATTTCAAAGATCATAAAAAAAAACTAAAGCAGCAGCCACAGCACACAGAACTCAAAGAAGTCCTACCTTGCCTATGATGCTGCCAACTTCCTATAGAAACAAGAGACAAAAGAAATTGGATCATGCATAGACCAGCAAATATCTGACAAAGTCTATATATCTTTGACCAGAAAATTAAAAAGCACCCCTTCTCATCTCCAAAATGAAAGCATGGGCATTTCAAGATTTGAGAAAGAAAACCCTAGTTTACTTACTTTCCCATGCATAAGCATCCGGAGGGTGAGGGTGATGCTGAGTTCTGTCTCTTCTATTCCATTATCTGAGCCACTCATCCTATCTGGTGATGCCATAATGTAGGAATGCATGGATCTGCTTCTAAGAAAACCAACACCCTGGGTCTAGTAGGTGTTGAAGCTGCCAAATCTGCAGACACACAAAGAGAAAAGAGCTTCACATTTACAAGCTTCCCTGTAAATCAGTCCAATGACTTGGCAGGACTATGGTGATTAGTGAGAAATTGGGTTTCATATAACACCCTTTGATGCTTCCTGTGTCAGAGTCAGAGCACCCTGGAGAGCAATGACAATGAGGATGAAGAGAAACATCACACAAGCAGATACAGCTGCCTTTCCAAATGTAATTTCAACAAAAACTTTTGTAGAAAGTGAAACGCCAAAAATAAGGCATATAGATATATACTCAATACTGGTTCAGAAAAAATAAGATATTTTCTGCCTCTTTACAAGTTTAAGTAATTCTGCTTTTAGTCAAAAGAGTCATATTTTTGGATGCAATAAATATGGCCTGTAATTGTTACTGTTTTGTTTACAAGTATTAATACACAAAGGGTGCCCTAACATCATATAATCTTATTTTCTGACTGCTTGCATAACCATAGAAACATGTTAACATGCGTAGCTGGAGTTTGAAATCACTCTTTGCTGTCGCCGCTGCCACCCACACCCACCGCTGAATCCCCATGACAAGATGGATAATGTAACATCTCTAACACCTTCTAAAAAGTCAATATGGAAACATGTAAGTGTGGAAAATAGGTTCTGTCGCCAGGTATGCTCTCAGACCACAAGCATGAAGTCACATATGTTTGGAGAAACACCCATAAGAGATCTTTGAAATACAGCAGTAGCACTTCTTGACACAGATTGAGCTGAATATATCACACTTGCACCAAGCTATTCATAAAGGGAATTTTATTGGAAACAAAATAATTAAAATATAGTACAGGTGATTATCTAAGTTTTTCTTGAATGCCTCCAGTACTCACCAATTCCTATGGTAACTGGTTCCACTGTCATACTGCTCTAACAGTTGGGAAAAATTTTCCTGATATTAACCGAAATCTGTTTTTCCTGATATTAACCGAAATCTGGCTTCCTTTAACTTGAGCCCATTGTTGCATGTTCTGCACTCTGGGATGATTGAGAACAGATCCTGCCCCTCCTCTGTATGACATCCTTTCAAATATTTGAAAAAGTGCTATCATATCACCTCTCAGTTTTCTTTTCTCAAGGCTAAACATGCCCAATTCTTTCAGCCTTTCCTCATAAGGCTTGGTATCCAGTCCCCAGATTATCCTTGTCGCCCTCCTCTGAACTTGTTCCAATTTCTTTGCATCCTTCTTGAAGTGTGGTGTACAGAACTGGACACAATATTCAAGGTGAGGCCTAACCAGTGCTGAATAGAGGGGGACTAGCATCTCGTGGGATTTGGAAACTATACTTCTATTAATGTAGCCTAAAATAGCATTTGCCCTTATTTAGCCACATCACACTGTTGGCTCATATTTAGCTTGTGATCTATGTGAGCAAATAGCTGATGCACAACAGATATCCAAGTAATGTTCCCTGTCTTCTAGAGCCTTCTTCAGGAGCTAATCTTCACAAAATCTTTCTAACTCCTGCATTTGTAAACTTATCTTTTGCAACCTGACAGGCAAATATGCCTTCCTTCTGGCTTCTGTCTGGCTTTCCTGCAGAAAGCAATGCTAACTGTTGAATCAAAAGCTTCTGAGAAAATATCAAGTGCATGGCTCATTTAATTCACTGTTCTGTAGTCACTATATTTTCAGTTTTGGATAAATGTTATATACAATGTCAACAAGAAACAAAACAAAAGCAGAAAAAGTTGCTGTGGCACTTTAAAAACTGACTGCTGTACTGTAATGTAAGCTTTTGAGGAATATTGTCCACTTTAGACATAGAATACAGAGACTACATAGCAAAACATTCACTAAGAGACAGTGTTGTTTAGTTACATTTCACACTTCATAGTACAATATATAATACAAAAAAAAATCCCCTCAGCCAACCTCAGGAACAATTCCTATTTTGTAGATTTGATTGAAAAGATCCACTAAAATAAGTCATCACCTTTACCTTTGCTACTTCTGTGAAAACATCAAGTCTAGGAATGTTCCCATTTTTTGTTAGACATATTGCATTCTGATAAGATGGAGAAGGGGGATGTCCTGTATTTAATCATCATCATCATCATCATCATCATCATCATCATCATCATCATCATCATCATCATAATATTAGAACTGCATGGCTGGAAGGGACCCTATGGATCACCAAGTCCAGCCTCTGTCAAGGAGGTTCAGTGGCAAATCGAACTCCCAGCCTCTGGCTCCACAGCCAGATTCCAGTAGTTCCTGGGAATTGATAAAACACATTTCTCCGTGTCCAAATATTTTGTGAGAACCATACTGCCATTCACGATGAGGCCGACAACTCCATTTCCCTAACATACAACAATGCCTCTGTTTAAAGCACGTACCTTCCCCTGTTAGAGCAAAGGACAGCTACTCACACAGAGAGCAAGAAATAAATAGGCAACAGAAAGCAAAAAGAGATACAGTAATTGTGAGTGTGGGGCTGGCTGATCCAGATGACCCTGAGGAGGTATTTGCCAAACACAATTCCCTCCTTATGAGAACTGGCATGTGTATATGTCCCCCATCTAGCTACCTACCATGTTTCCCAGAAAATAAGAGGGTGTTATATTAATTTTTGCTCTAAAAATGCATTAGGGCTTATTTTCAGGGATGCTTTATTTTTTTCAATGTACAACAATCTACATTTATTCAAATATAGTTGTGTCATCTTCTTCTGGTTGCTGCACAATGGTGGAGGGTGGGGTTTCATTTAACTAGGGCTTCGTTTTGGGGTAGGGCTTATATTATGAGCATCCTGAAATATCATTCTAGGGCTTATTTTCAGGCTAGGTCTTATTTTCAGGGAAACAGAGTATTTATTTATCTATTTTAATTATAATTATTAACAAATATTCATAAAACAGCTCTGATGATTTTGAAGCTATACATACAAAATAATTAAAGATACAATAAACACAATGCAGTATTTGTGCAGTCAATTAAATACAGTATTTGTATACAGATTACATCAAATAAAACAACACAATAACATACGTAAACCAAACACAAGTAAAGATGTAGGGGCAATGATGAGGGAGACCAAAGTAGTGGGAAATACTGATGTGGGTTCTTTCAAAGAACCAGGTAAAGTGGTGTTTCTTTTCCCCACTAGTTGAATGGAAAGGGCTGTTAGGTGGCCATCTTTCCTGAATGACTGTCTACTAATGCTCTGTGGGGATGTTTTTTTTTTAAAGTGAACAAGCCAGTGTAGAATTGTGAGCAATGTTCCATAGTGTTTGTACGTGGAAGAGAGAAAGCTATCGGAGAACCACAAGGTAGACAGCAAAAGAGAAAGAGGACCCTTGTTGGCAGCTGGCTGTAATGATCAACACTGGGGGGCTCCATGTGTAGAAACTGCTTGCTCCAGGGGAAGCTGATGCCATTTTAGTGTCATATGTCTGGCTTTCAGCTTCCTTGTGCTTAGTTTACAAAAAGACAGAAATTACAAAATGCCAAAGATAATGTCACCCTTTGAGTTCATCACCCGTCAAGAAAGCAGGGTGGAGCATGTAATTGTTATACACCCCCCCCTTCCTTTCAAATATCATTTCTCATGAGGACAGCACTGGTTTTAGAATTGGGAAATCCTTTTCCCCACAAAGCCTGTGTGTTCAACCACAACAAAGGCAATGCAGGAGTTAAAACCAAGACTGGATATAAGAGAAAGATTATTTTTGAAACTCCTCCTGACCTCCCAGACAGTAGCTGAAATCCAGTAGTAAGATGCACTAAAGTAGGCCCGTTGAATCAATGGAACCTACAGAGGAGGTGACTCAACAAATCCCCACTGATTGAATGGGCCTACTCTACTTGCAGCTTACTACTGGATTTCAGCCAATATGACTTCATGTGACAGCGTCCTGCAAAGCACAATGTCCACATCCTTTCCAAGAAACTATTCTCAGAATAGCCAAAGGAGTAATCCCCTCCGGAACTGGTTCTCATGCATCAGATCCCTAAAGATCTGGATGTCAGGATGAGCAAAATGTTAAAAAAAAAAATAATTGGTAGGAAGTTTAAATAAGATACCAGGCTGTCTCTCTTAGGTAAATGACAGACGTTGTGATAACAGCCAAGCTAATTCAAAATGGCATTTTAAAGCAGGAGATGATCACAATAGCATCTTCCTTTCCTTATGTTCCCCAGCAGCTGGTGTTGACAGCCATTCCACTGCTGATACAGGAAATAACATACAGACAAGTCACCAATGATAGTTGTAACATCCATGAATTTGTACAATCTCTTTTAAAGTTGTCCACGTTGGTGACTATCTCTTCTACATCTTGTACAAGTGATTTCCATTGTTTAAATATGCACTGTGAAAGTAGTATACAGTATCTTTTTGTCAATTCTGCATAATTGTATACATGCATTTCCCCTTGTTGTTTCTTTCTTCAGCTAGTGGTCAGTCACTTCACAGTCTTGCCCCCCAACCCACTAAATCTAAATATTATAACTTAAACAAAGGATTTGCACACTTTCTTATTTGCTTATTCAGTAAGAGACTTAAAAATGCTTTTCAGAGCACATTGGTGGTATACAGAAAATTCTGCAACAAGACATAGCAACATTTCATAATAAAAATATATATGCTCACATTAAAATCCACAGTGTATCCCCTTAAAAGTAATAATAAAAAGTAATCAAGCAAAGTATTTACTCCCAAGTCAATCAAACTTATTTCTTGGTAAGAATGGAAGAGATCAAGCTGTAAAATCAATTGACTGCTTGAACTGCTATGTTTGGGACTGTAGGTAGGTAAGTAATGTTTGGAACTCATTTACCAGGATTTTCATGTTCTTTAGGACTTTTGAAAATAATACTTCTCTTTATCACTTTGCAAGGTTACATTTTGCCCAAACCCTTTGTTAAATACAGTACAGCCCTATATACATAAAGGAAGTTTTATTCCTCATCCATCCCCCCCTTTTTTAAAAAAAATCTATGTTTATCTGAAAATATATTA